AGTACAGCATCAGTTTCATCATCTTCTCAATCACCCAACCAATCCTCTGTCTCCATTGATGATGTGAACAGCTCCCTGTCAAACTGAACTCTCTCAATTTCTCTTCGTGGAGAGTGCAATTCGATGGCTTCCTAACAGGCTATATCTCATGGGACATGTAAATGGCACATCAGCCGCTCCTCCCAAATAGATTCAAAAAGATAGGCAGAATTTTCCAAATCCACAGTATACTCACCAGTTGCACAGGACAGCCTGCTGCTTAATGCCATTGTTTCTTGCACCTCATAGACATTCATTTCTCCTATGCCAAGACCTCATATGATGTTTGGCAAAGACTTTCTATGTTACATGCTAATAAGTCCAGCTTCCTGATCATGGACCTCTTAAGTCTCAGTTACTTCGTACCCAACAAGAAACAGGCAGTCAATGAATATTTGCAACTGATGCAAACCATGGCTTATGATTTGGATGTGGCAGGTGCTGCAATCAGTGAAGAAGACTTAGTAGTACACGCCCTTAATGGACGCGGCAATGGATGCACAGAAATCATTGCAATCACTGAAGCCCATGACAATCCCCTAAGTTGAAGAACATGAAAAGTTAACAGCGTATTAGCTACAACTCCACTATAACGATAGTGTTACCATCATGCAATCAGCTCACTTGACTTGCAGAACCAACACCACTCCTCCGAATCAGGGTCACTCATTATGGTCTCCGAACGAGTCATCTGTAGGTAGTCAACCCTCATCAAAAAAATCTCCAGTTGCTTCTACCAAGAGACCTGTCTGCCAAACTTGTGACGGAATAGAGCATAGTGCCGTTATCTGCTACTGAGAGAAGCAGTTCTTTAACTCTAACATGGTGTCAATTATGTTGCATCTTAACCTCATTGAGACAAATCTCGGCTTATGGATTGGGATCCCACCTCCCATGTAACACAAGCTCTTTATAACCTATTCATTCATTAGGATTATGATCCATATAGCAATAACTAATACTAGTTCTAAAAAACTATCATTTTCTAAGATTTTTACTCTACTTCACATCGTTAATCTACTATATATGCAGAAGAATTTGATTTTCATGTCTCAGTTAAGAAAAGCTAGTCCAAGTTTCTGTTGAATTCTTCCTAACCATTTTTTGGGTGACAGGCTCATACCCAAGGGCTCTCCTGACCCACCAACCGAATGCTGATGATATTTGCCCCCTGTCCATGACAACCTCTCCCCTGAAATATCTTGCCTTGGAACCAGTTTATACTGATTTATTGGGAATATCTCTTCTATTTCCATTTGATAACTACATATGTTTTGTCATGTTTGTGATAAGTACGGTTTTGTTGTAGGAAAGAATAAGCAGATTTGTTCTCTCTACCCCTTGTTTAAATAAGCTCCATTTTGCAACTCTCTGTTTGTCCACAAAGATGATAAATTCACTATGTACTACCTTGTGTATGTGGATGACCTTGTCTTAACAGCCAATTATGGTGCTTACACGAAACAATTTCAAGTTACATTAGCCATTGAAGTCTCACTCAAGAACCCCTAGTCACTGCAATTACTTTTGGATGTAGAAGTGAACAAAACTTCCTCTTCATTGCTCTTTTCTCAAAAAAAGTACCTTCATGACCTTATTGCGAAAAATGACATGCTTGCGTCCAAGCCAGTAAATAAACTGATGTCTGCTTCAAAACCATTGTTACTCAACGATCGTACTGCAGAAATTGAAGCATCATTTACCACCACACCATTGGCGCCCTGTAGTATCTGTGTATTACTCACTTGAAATTTTGTTTGTTGCTCAATTCATGCATAAGCCCACTGAGATTCAGCGGCTTGCTGTGAAACAACTACTTCGATGTCTCAAAGACACTCCTACTCATGGTATTCCTCTCAACAAGTCCTCTGACTTGTCTCCAATTCAAACTGCTTACTTGGATGCTGATTGGACGGGTGATGCCAACTCTGAACTCTCAACTTCAGCTCACATCATCTACTTCAATAGCTTTCCAATTTCCGAGAGGCGCAATGCAAATATCAGTTGCAAGATTGTGCACTGAGGCAGAGTATAGATCCGTTACCTCTACCACATCTGAGCTGGTATTGATTCATAAAAAAATTGCTGTCTGAATTACATTTCCCCTCCCCAAATCTCCTTTGATCAACTGTGATAATTTGGGTGCTAAATGTCCCTGCTAATCCGCTTCTTCACTCCAAATGAAACATATTCAAATGTTTGAATAGTCCTATATATCTAGCTGCATGTATATACTAAGTTTAGACTGTTCTCATGAAATAACTAGCTCAGAAGTAACATGATCTTTGTAACTAGCTCTGACAAACAAAAGAAATACCACTGGTTAAAGATAGAGTCACTTTTCTGTCAAAGTCTCGCACATCTAATCTCACAATCTTTTCCTCATTATAGCTAAATACGATATAGAGTTGAGGCAACAGAATTGCAAGCATTTCCACATAGAATCTTATGCAAAAAGACATTAAATAAATAAATCCATAAGATCAATGTAAACCAGCAAATTAGCCAAATTTTATTTGTTACATGCTCAGACTTATAACATTTAAAACCAAATATTAAAAGGAAAATTCCTAAGATGACACCTAACAGATTAACCAGCATCTCAAGCATTGAAATGTGCAGCATGGTGGAATAAAATCGAATATCCAATTTGCATATATAGAACCCAGATGCTATAGTTCAGAAACTCTGATGTCAAAACTAAATTTGAAGTTTACACATCATGATTTCAGCACAGGGTTGTGCTTATTGTCATTCACGTTAAGAGCATAATCCGATAACCGACCGTTTCAAAAACTAAAAGAAATTAGAGATACATTTTATAATCTATCATCGTTATGCTTAAACATTTTCCTTACAAGCTATGTCCAGTCTGGAGAATAACTTCAGGAGCCATCCAATATGGAGTACCCTTCATTGACTTCGCACCGTTAATAGTAGCCTACAGAAAAATAAGAATCTAAAAGTTGATGTGCCCGTAAAACCATGAAATGTAAACTAATCTAGTGGATAGAGGAAGATGAGAGAGAAGGGGAGAGTAATGGAAATACCAGCTCCACAACTTTTTTTGATGCACCAAAATCTGCAAGTTTAATGCATCCTTTGTTATCAACCAGAATGTTTGCTCCCTGAAGGAAGCCGACTTACTGTTAGAGAAACATACATAAAGAGGCGAGCAGCGAAGTCAAGTCCATACATATCAGTACGAACGGTACCCCTCTATCAGAGGTAAAGTGCCTAATTTTCACACTGGCGAAAGTAATGGTCAAAACCGATCATAAAGCCAATATAGCAATACCATTGGTTCTAATACAAAATATTTTTAGAGTTCAAAATTTTTAAAATAAAACAAAATAAAATATTTAAAAAATTAAGGAAATGAAACTAGTAAGTTTATTCTTTAAAAATTACAAAATAAAAAGAAAAAAAACTGAAGCTAAAAGAATTATCATTTTATCTA